AAAATCTGGACTAGGGACCTATTGCTTTACGCACCCCCTTGCTTTACTTCTTAATACAAAAACACACCCCTTGGCCTTTTGGGCCTGAATTCAATATCTGAATTCAGACCCTTTCTATTAGCACCCCACCTTTTACTAGCCTAGTATATTTCGCACCCCCTACGCTTTTTTAAATATTTTAATTATTTTATCATTTCGTAATTTTATATTTCCTTTTTTATTATAATAATTATTATATATGTTTATATTATATATTTAAATATATTTAATATTATAGTTATTATTTATTTATAACATAAATTCTTATTTTCTAAACTCATTAAAGTATTATTATTTTTATTGCATTAAAGCTTATTTTTTATTCATTCATTTAAATAGAATTATTTTTTAATAAATTGATATATTAAAAAATATTCAAGCAACTACAAACTCATTTTCAAAATCAAATTAATTCAACAAACAAACTTTCAAAAAGGATTGCGAACTTATTCGAATCAACTGTACATTTAGTCTAACAATTTTCGTTACTTACGACACCTAGACTAAACGTGCGGAAAATGCGAATATCTTCGTAATTAATAAAAAACACAAATCAACCGCGAACTACGAAATGAGACTATGATTCCTCCTAAGATGATACGTAGGCATACAATTAAAATCGTGGCGAGTTCCCTTAATAAAAATTAAAACCCTATTTCCTAAAAATTACGCTTCTAAAACCTAGTATCCTTGTGAACAAGGTAGATGGGGGGTGCCTAACACCTTCTCTTCGTCTAGAACCGAGTCCAAAAAACCTAGAATCTCTAACTTTTAGGGTTATCCTTTTATATTCTCTTCCTTAGGATAAAAATTAAGGGTGGCAACTCTCATATTTAAAACCAGTACCAACAGCTGGCGACTCTACTGGGGACTCAACCCTAGGTTTAAAAGCCTCTCCTTTAGGTTTCAGGGTTTTTTTTTTTTTTTTTTGTTTTTTTTTCTTTATTTATTTATTGACTTATTTTGTTTATTATATTTTATCATGTTACATCTGTGGTGGGATTTAATTTTCGTAAAAAATATTTTCAAAAACCCTTAGAAAGAAGGATTGTCTATTAGCCAAGGGGATACATCAACCCTATGAGTTTATGTGACGACTTCACCTAGAGTCGGTGGAATTCCGCAAAAGGAATATCTCTCAAGAGACTTCCTCTTGAGAAATAGGACTTTAGAATGACACTTATGACTCTTTGTACCGCATTTAAACCAAAATCTCATGATGAGACCTTTCATGACCTAGAGACGAAAGTTTCAGTCTGCAAAGAGGCTCCACTTAAGAGAGACCCTTGTGCCTTTTCCCTATAGTGTTATTCATGATACCCTTAAGGAAACCACCTTATGGGGAGGGTAGAATATCCAAAGGCCAAAGCTAAGAACCTACCTTCTAAGGATACATTTCACAAATCTCACTACAATCTGTAAACCTGCCAGGGTTATCTCTTCATCCACTACTATCCCTAGCCTGTAGAGATTCCTCGTTGTTTTTCATTTGCCTTAATCCTTAAGGAATTCCTGCTTGTCTTAATCTCTGAGACAATGTAGGATATCATCAAATTGATGTCTACTATTACCTTCGTTCTTAAGGGGTCCTTGTCTGTCTCAATCTCCGAGTCAGTATAGGATATCATCATGCTTATCATTAAACCTGTATAGGGTACCCTTACATCTACCATTATACTACGTCTACATCGCATTGCATATCCATGAAACTTTTGGCATACCTAAAAGCAAAAAAATATTTTTGCATACCCAAGAATTTTCATATATTTTCATTTTCATCCATCTGCATAAAGCTCATATCTCTTCCACTCACAGAAACCATTCACCCTTATCCAATTGTGGTCCCGCTAGCAATATTCTCGATACTCGCAAACAAACTTAAAGCATGTCTCAAGAAGCCATGGAGGAACTCAAAAGAGGCCAAGAATTGTTGAAGGGGGAGGTCCACTAGTTGAAGACTCAAATGAACTTGATCATGCAATTATTATTGAGGAGTGAAGGTAACCCTCTGTCATCCCAGCCACAGGCCTATTTAACACTACAGATACCACCACTATGGAAATTTCCTCCATCTCAACAACAACTACAACAACCCTATCAACAGAAGGGATATGCCCAATAAAGGGGAAGACAAAAATTACCACTAAGAAGAGTTGATCCACTTCCCATACCGCAATGTCAGCTACTACAACATTTACTCAAGGTATCTTTGGTAGAACATAGGTCACTGAACCCTTCGAATGGGACACTCCCGCCTAAGTATGATACAAATGTCAAATGCGTGTATCATGCCAACTCTCTAGGACATACCCTTGAAAGATGTTGGAGTTTCAGACACAAGGTCCAAGATTTGATTGACAATAAAAGTTGACTTTTGAAGAAGGAATCCCATTGGTGAACGGTCGCCCCTTGCTTTGACAAATCCAAAGACTAAAAAGAATCCCCTAAAGTCAGTGGATCAACAAGGGGGCTTATCTCTAGATCATTAGGCCTTTATCATTTCGACTTGTAATTTCCTAGTTGTTAATTTTCATTTTTTATAAATTTGTATCTTGGGATCAGTAATTCTAATAAGAAAATCATGCATATTTTTTTGAAATCGATCCATTTCACAAGTAATCAACGACTTTCTATTCTTCTTTTCTATCTTCCATTGCATAACTTTAACAAACTTCGATGGAGAATGATGAAAATACTAAATAATTGAATTTTGTTGATGTATGCTTTTTAATAGTAAGGCTTAGTTGACGATGTAAGGCATTGTTTCACTTTCTAAATAGTGGATAAATAATGAGTTAATCTGTAGTTAACCCCCTTGAGCCGGAAGTCAGAGTTATTTCTATTTTTTTTTTAAAAACCTTAATCTTAACCAGGGGCAGGGTAGATTTTAATTAATTCGATGATGCATTCAAATTCTAGGAGAATCGAAATGATGTAAGAAAAGGTTCAAGCATATCTCTTTCCTCAATACATCATTGAGAGAATGATCTAAGCAAAGATTCGATCATATTATCTTTCCCGTGTTCATCATCCGAAATTCAGGAATCAACAAAGACAAAGCCCATGACTTCTTCTTCCTCAATACATCAATCAAGATCGAGAGAACGATGAAGACGAAGCTTACAACAATCAACATAGGAAGTCACAATTTTTTAAAATAAAAATATAAAAAAAATCCTGCTAAGTCGAGTAACAATAAAAAAACTTGACTTAGGAAAAAGTGAGGGCATCCCGATAGACTAGAAATTCAAAAATAATTGGTCTATGCAAAATAAGGGATTAGAAACGAATAAATTGGAGAACAATCATGTGACTGTCACCTCAGGAATCATCAAGTCTTCTCATCAACGCGTGGATCCCGTCAACGCTTGGATCTCATTAATGCTTGGGTCTTATCAATGTTTTTTATCGGTGCTTGAATCTTTATCTACGTTTCTCATCATCTGCGCGACTACGAAATTTCTATTGGGGATTAAACACATCTATTGCATTAATTGAAATTAGTAATGGAGAATATCAAGGAGAATGGGGTGGGCTAAACAAATTTTGAGCCTTATATCTTTTGTTTTTTAACCGTAAATCAGGCCACGTTACAACCTTCAAAAGTCCTAATTGAAGCAAAGTTAACTATGAAAGCATACTCGACAAAAATTTTATTAAACTGACTCCTATGTTTGTTAAAATTATTACTAATCGCTTCTTCGAATCTTCATCTCAAATCATCCATTTCTTCTCAATAATCAATTTAGATTTCAAGAACTTGCATGGGCATCACATTAGGATTACTTTTTTTTTTCAAAATGTACAATTTTATTACGAGTCAATACTTAGCATCAAGGCGATTTCAAAAAAGGGTCTGATCAAAGGTAGCATTTCCGATAAGCTTCTAATTAGGGGCAAAGAATCTGAGAGAACCCCCTATGAGCAGGGGGAAATACTAATGATCATAGGGGTATATCACACGAAAATATTATTAACCAGAGGTGATCATTCTGAAATCCAATCAACTCGGATCAAATTTTAAAGCATTGTTCAACCAGGGACATACCTTTTGAAGGACCATTCCTTAATCGGGTCATATCACAATAGGGTATGACTCGATTTCCTCATTTTAACGAACCTCTCAAGGCCTTGATAATCAGGGGCAACCTTCCAAGGTTCAAATGTTAGGGTAGTGTGTACCAATTACATCCTACTGCACGTAAGGTCCAAATTCCCTTCAAGCAACTTCAAGTACAAACTTTTCAAGCTTCAAATACTTGAGGAAATCTAGGTCAAGTTCATGATGGGGTCTATGTTCTTTTTTAGGGTACTCCCTCTAGATCTTGGAGATTGAGGGGCACCTCTTTCAAAATTCGAGTGTTGGGACAAAGCACTGCAAGGCTCGATCAAAAGGAGTTGGTTCAAAACGATTCATCAAAGCCAAACATTTTCAAGAGTCTTTCAATCAGGGGCATAGTGCAAAATAGTGGGGAATCTCTTCCAAGGAGAATCTCTTCCAAAATCGTACCAACAAATTAGGGAAAGACAGTCCACATAGGGGCAAGCTCTCCGCGTACTTTCATAACCTCCAATGGATCCTTCTCCTGCATCAGCAATTTTCGAGTTCAAATCGAGTATCGGAAATCATAATAGCACAACATTCAACCACCATGTGACAAGAAACCTTATTGCATAGACAAACCTCTACGCTTTAATCATCCACGACCCTTCACAGGGGCACCATTAAAAAAAAACCATTCGGGTCATAATCATAAAGCGTAAAGCTGCATAAATCATGCATTACGGTTCTTCGATCCAAAATTAAACTATACTTATCAGCTCATTCATCTGACGAAGTCCAACAGCATGGGGCGAACATATCTCAAAAATCTCATTTCAAGAGGGGGGCAGGAAAAAAAATGCAACCTTACAGCCATAACCCTTACTAGAGCTCCGATTCGCAACAAATTCTTATGATTTCACATCGAAATCTCAAGAGTTTTCGAGCCTAACTTGTAGCCTTCAGATTCGTGTAACGACCCTTGCGATTTTCTCATGAATCCGCCGACCCCCTCCACGCCCTCGATACGACTCCAACAAGCTCCACACACAACCCTCGCTCTGCACCCCGCGTCCGCGAAGCTACTTCCGCACACTTCAGATCTCTAATCTCCATCCTAACCTATCACAACACAAACTCCCTTCTAGACGTACCACACAGAATCACCCCTCTGTGTAGATCAACACCCAGTCGCTTCTTCCGAGCAAGCCTACAAATAACTCAACTCTGCGGATCCATCGGCCGCGACTCCCACAACAAACCGCCGCTACGACCCACCGATCACCACCGGAATCGCGCATCTCCAACCGTCGAGTCTGCCGAGGATCTTCCATCTGCCGCCGTGAGACTTTCAAGGGCTAAAATTTGCTTGGTTTTTTAGAATTTGTTGGAAAGAAAAATAATTAAAAAAAAAAAAGAAAGGAAAAAGATATAAAGAATGGAGTTTCAGGTTTGAGAGATTTAGCCTTGGGAGAAAAAGTGATATTGTGTGGTAACAGGTTTGGATTTACTCTCTCTTATACGGGTGTGTAGGATAGGTATGTTTTTATTTTATTTTTTTACTTTCTAATGCCACGTGTCACTTTATGTATTTATTCTTAATTTAATTTGAAATAAGAAGAAAAAAAAGAGATAGAAAGATGCATGTTTTGGTTCATGTATCTCCTCGTTAAAATACAAGTGCTTTGACTATGTATTTATCACTTTTGTTTTTTTATTTTATTTCATAATAGACACATGTTTAAGTGTCATTGGCCTATTAGTTAGAAAATAGAAGAAAAAAACTTTAGTAAAAAATGATGCTGCCGCCACCCTCTTCTAACAATGCATATTGTTATTTTTATTTTATACTTTATAAAAATTAGGATTTTTGATGTAATTGAATTTGGGCCTAAACTCTTTACACTTTTACTAAGATATCACACAACTTCATAATCTACGCCCCCATTCGTTTAACTGATCCAATTTCTTTTATAATAGTTAATTTAAGTGGTTTATTTGCTTTAATCAACTTAATTAATTTAATATTTAGTTTACTTTCTTTTAATTATTATTTGGAAATAATGAGGAGTCTAAAATACAAAAGTTTTTTTTTATTATTAGATTAATTATATTTTTAATTTAATCTTTTAATTAGAATTTACACATAAATCCAAATCACTTTTTAAACTAAATTAATTCAAATATTTTATAAATAATAGGATATCCATCTTCGAGTAATTAAAACAGTCGACACATCGTCAACCGACCCAATAGAAAATCGTAAAACCGAACCGAACCAAACCGAAACTGCAAAAAAATGTATTTGGTTCGGATGTGTTTGAGTCATTTTTTAATGGAACCGCGCGGTTCGGTTTGGTTTGCAGTTTGTAATTTATAAACCGAACCAAATCAAACCAAACCGCATTATGTTGTAAAATCTTACTAACCAATATATATTTCTTTAATTCTTTAGAGAAATCAACATGTATTATGTGTATATTTTATCATATTTTGTATGATATTTTTTTTAATTTACAAATCATAAAAAATAAAATATTATTCATTTATAAATACTATTTTCTTTGTATTATTCATTTATTTAAGAACGCAATCTTGTCTATATCATTCTTTAGATTTAGATAAAATTATAATACGCAATTTTATGTATCAAATTATAAACTTATTTCGACAATTATAAATTTTTTTATGGTAATGTATGAACAATTAAACACAAAATTATATTTTTCTCTATATGTGTATGTATGGCTTAATAACTTCTTTTTTTTGTAAAAAACCGAACCAATCAAAACCGCATTATTTTGGTTTGGTTTTGTTCAGATTTATTTTTAAAAGTCAACCGAACCAAACCAAACCGCATGTTTTTTTCTCTTGCGGTTCGGGTGATTTTTTACTTCAAAACCGCCCAAACCGCACCGCGAACACCCCTATCGTCTATCGGTTTATTATTCAAAATCAAACAATTAAAGTCCATCCAACTCACCAAATTCACCATCCGCGAATGACATGTGGGCAATATCTGGCCACGTCATGAGGAGACTATATTAGACTTCCTCTGCTATGTGACATACCATATAGTTTAATCAAATTGAAACTCAAAGCAGTTAACCAACAACATCAAATCATTTTCTACTAACATATTCAAAATCAAGATATTTTTTGAAAAAAGATTAAATAGAATTACTTTCAAAATTAACTACGAACTGCATCTACGATTACTCAACTCAAAACCTAGACAAGGTTCAAGGATAAATTTGAAAACAATTATATGCAATCCTATAAAAACACAAACCAACACTGCAAACTATGAATTGGGACTCTAATTCCTCCTAAGAGGATATGTAGGCATACGATCAAAAATCGTGGCGAGTTCCCCTAATAAAACTTAACATCCTATTTCTTAAAACGCGCTTCTAAACCTAGTGTCCTTGTGAACAAGGTAGATAAAGAGTGCCTAACACCTTCCCCTCGTCTAGAACCGAGTCAACAATCTAGAATCTCTAACTTTTAGGGATATTCCTTTAGACTCCCTTCCTTTAGATAAAAATTAAGGGTGGCGACTCTGATTTTAAAACTAGTTGCAACAGCTGGCGACTCTGCTGGGGCGAGCATATCTCAAAAAGCCCAACTACGCATTCACATTTCAAAACTAAACATCCATTTACATATATCCAAGTCCTTTATTACATGCATCAATCAATCATTACATTTCATGCGTCAATCAAATATACATGCATAGCATAAACTATGTTGCATGTGAAGACAATCATCATTGTCGATTAAGTTATCAATTCTACATTGAATCTTGGCAGTAGATTCCCCTGGTTAATCTCGATAGTTGATTTTCCAGAACACCTCGGCAAGATTTATTTCTACATCGAATCTCGATAGTAGATTCTCCTGGCTAACCTCGGCAGATGATTTTCTAGAAGACCTCGGCAGAAGGTAATTCTACGTTGAACCTCGGCAAAAGGTATTTCAATTAAATCTCGGCAGTAGATTCCCCTAATTGATCACGACGATTGATTATCTAGTAGACCTCGACAAAAGATAACTCACAATTGAATCTCGATAGTAGATTCCTCTGGTTGATCACGAAAGTTGATTATCTAGAAGACCTCGGCTGAAGGTAGCTCACAATTGAATCTCGGTAGTAGATTCGCCTGGTTGATCACATCGGTTGATTATCCAGATGACCTCAGTAGAAGGTAGATCACATTTGAATCTCGGTAGTAGATTCCCCTGGTTGATCACAACAGTTAATTTTCTAGAAGACCTCGGCAGAAGATAATTTCTCAACAGAATCTCAGTAGTAGATTCTCCTGAGTAAATCTCGGAAGTTGATTTCCCATAAGACCTCGGTAGAAGGTATTTTCTCGATAGAATCTCCGTAGTAGATTCCCCTAGTTAATCTCAGCAATTGATTTTCCAGAAGACCTCGGCAGATGGTAATTCTCAATCGAATCTTGGTAGTAGATTCCTTGGAAATCTCGGCAGTAGATTTCCCATCGAAAAAGCTTCACATCAAGTATGACGTACACATAACCATATCAAAATCTCAAGGTTATTCACAACATTTAGGGCACCTAACATACAGAAACACCAAAGAACATTTGATAAAGAATCAAAGTCTATTCTGATTAGAAAAACATCAAAAGAAAATCCACGCCTATTTCTACGTCCACGTCTACATCTACGACTATGACAACATCCATATCTACGTCCATACCTACGCCTGCACCTATGATATAGACATCAAGATCTTACTGACACTTTTCACCAAATTCAAATTAACTTGGAGATACAATAATTGGCAACAAACAACTTTGGGAAGTTGGTGACTACAAGAACCTGATGGTGTAAGAAGGAAAATTATCAAAAACATTTTCAAAATACTTGGAGCATACATACTTAGTGCATATACACTACGGGTTCCATATTAATTTAAGACATCATACATCACACATGGCATTTCTCAAAACATGCTTTGTGCAGAATCAATATCTTTGGGCTCTCCATCAGATTATTACCTTGGTTAAAAACAAATACAACCAGCAAAAAATACGATCTCATCTCTGATTTAGTTATCTAAGATTTGGATAATCAAAACAACTTCCTCCATAATTTAACTCATTGCGTCGAGCTCCATGTAGCAATGTGTTTTCCTTCTTTGTGATATAGCTCATTGTGTCAGGCTCCATGCAGCAATGTGTGAAATCTATAATGTAACTCATTGCATCAGGCTCCATGCAGCAATGTGTTTCCTACTTTGTAATATAGCTTATTATGTTAGTCTTCACACATCATTATGGTCTTCCTTTGCGATCTAGCTCATTGTGTCAGATCCCAGACAACAATGTTGTGAAGTCGGCAACTCCACCCATTTTTTTGGTCTCTATGCGCCAATGTGTGAATTTTCTATATTTAACTTATAGTGTCAGTCTCCATGCAGCAATATGTTCTTCCTTTGCGATATAGCTCATTGTGTCAGACCCCATGCAACAATGTTGTGAAGTCAGCAATTCCATCCATTGTGTTAGTCTCTATGCAATAATGTGTGAATTTTCTATATTTAACTTAGTGTGCTAGTCTCCATGGAACAATATGTTCTTCCTTTACGATCTAGCTCATTGTGTCATACCCCAGCCAGAAATGTTGCGAAGTCAAAAGTTTCACCCATTGTGTCGGTCTCTATGCGACAATGTGTGAATTTTCTATATTTAACTTATTGTGTTAGTCTCCATGCAGCAATATGTTCTTCCTTTGCGATCTAGCTCATTGTGTCAGATCCCAGGCAACAATATTGCGAAGTCAGCAATTCTACCCATTGTGTCAGTCTCTATGCAACGATGTGTACATTTTCTCTATTTAACTTATTGTGTTAGTCTCCATGCAACAATATATTCTTCCTTTGCGATCTATCTCATTGTGTCAGATCCCGGGAAACAATGTTGTGAAGTCAGTAATTCCATCCATTGTGTTAGTTTCTATGCAACAACATGTGAATTTTCTGTATTTAGCTTATTGTGTCAGTTTCCACGCAGCAATATGTTCTTCCTTTGTGATCTAGCTCATTGTGTCATACCCCAGGTAACAATGTTGTGAAGTCAACAATTCCACCCATTGTGTCAGTCTCTATGCAACAATATGTGAAATTTTCTATATTTAACTTATTGTGTCAAACTCCATGTAATAATATCTTCTTACTTTGTGATCTAGCTCATTGTGTTAGACCCCAGGCAGCAATGTTTCAAAGTCGATAATTCCATCCATTGTGTCAGTCTCTATGCGACAATGTGTGAAATTTTCTATATTTAACTTATTGTGTCATGTC